TTCAGTTTTTTATTTGTTAAAAAAGTTTGAAATATCCAATAAATTTCGTTCCACTTCATGATTGTGTCCCACTTGTTGTTGATTCCTCACAAAAAATTACAGTTTTATATCTTTATGTTTGAAGCCTGAAATGTGGCAAAAGGTCGCAAAGTTCAAGGGGGCCGAATACTTTCGCAAGGCACTGTATATAATCTATTAATCCCCTGTAAAACGTTCAGGAATTCAGTTACTTGACAAAAAGGTTCAACACTGACTTACAGTGTAGTATGTGCAACTCATCATGATGTAAGAAACTTAACCATCAGTTTGACCAGCTACAGACCATCATTTGAAAATGATTATTATTTGTACACAATGTACATTCAAATGTAGCTGCAGAAATCTGATCATTATGGTCAGATGACATGTAATTATTGCTGGCAATTAAAATGTTTGTTTTTCCCCCAGCTGGGAGCAGCAGCAGAGTAGGCGCAGGAGGAAGTGGCGTGCGGAAAGTAGAAAGGAGCATGTCAATAAGGATGACAGTGAGAAGGACTCTGACTCCCCAGAATCTCCTCCTGACAGCACTGAGACACAGGAGGTGGCAATTGCCCGAGAAAATCTGGTCACACTTGTGGCTGAACAGAAGAAGATACACAAACAGAAGGTAGGATTACTTGCCTACCTCTTGAAAAGTAAGGGGAAAGTGTAATCTTGGGTCATCTTTGACTGTATGAGACAAATCTGCATAAAAAAAAAAAAATCTGACCAGCTCTTCTTGTTTCCCCCTTAAGGCGCTGCTTGAGCGAAGATTTCTGGAGCTCCGGGACCAGGCTCACCGCTTGGAGGAGCTGCTTCCTCGGCGGGTGAGCTCAGAGGAACAGCGCGAGGTCCTGAGCCTCCTCTGCAAGGTCCACGAGCTGGAGATCGAGAACGCAGAGATGCAGTCCCACGCACTGCTCAAGGACAACGTCATCCGGCAGAAAAACTTTGTGGTGCAGCGCTTCGAGCAGCACAGACACCTGTGTGACGAGATCATACAGCAGCAGAGACAGTTCATTGACGGTGAGTCTGTCAGCATTTAGTTTTATTACATATTTGTTCTTTGGTTAATAGCTGTTTGGGTCCTTTACAGACATCTGGTTTAGAGCTGCAACAATTTCATAAATCACTAGGTTTGTTGCAGCTGTAGCCTTTTTGTTTTAGATACAGTGAACTTCTGGTTTCCTGGAAAGTATATTTGTGTATGTGCATTTCAGAGCACAGTCTGCTAGTACCTCTACACCTCCAGGAGCTGTATGATATGTACATGAGGGAGCTGGATGAGAGGAAACTGGACAGAGCAATGGCCCTGGATAAGATGACCACCAGACACACTATTAAGGTAACCCCTGCATGCAAAATCCAAATTATACAAAGATATTAAAGCTGTTGCCTAGATGATTACACCACATGAAACAGTATAAACGGTTCCTAATAAATGCTTCGTGCTCATTTCCAGGAGGGCTCTCTACCCAAGATCACCCTGCCCAACCATGGTCGTGACAACCTGCAGGACATAGACTCAGACCAGGAGAGTGTAAACAACATGTGCTCGGACAACAGACGAGATCACGCCAAAATCCGCAGACACACCTTGCCACCCATTCTTCCTGAGCTTGAGCTGTAAGAGCCTGTCATGTTCATATACAGCAGCTGCATTTAATATTAACAGCAAGCATACATGTGGATTAGTTTTGTTCTTTTTCCCTCTGTCAGGGACAATAACAGAGTTTTTAAGAGCAGCCCTCATGCCAGGCACCTGAAGAACTCTGCTGTAATGACGCCACCTCCCATCCACATTAACGGGAAGGGCAACAGAGAGGTGAGGACAATTCTAATAGGCAGTTCATTCAAACTAAATAGCTATCCCTCAGAGGTGACTCGTGCTGTGAATTAATAGAGTCCAGTCATGTGTTGCTTTTCACTTCCAGTAATACAAGTTCCTATTTGAATTAAACTCACACAGATATTTCACTCTGGTAGAACATTTTCATTTTCAACCCATGCTGCCTCTGTAAAAGAGGTGGCTCTCTGCTTCGGTGTTAAGGGTTTTTTGCTCAGCTTCCCGTGTTTAAATTTGCAAACCAGCACAATTACATCTTTGTTCCAGGCTTGGAATAATTGTACCTCCATCTAATTTTCTCTGTATGCAAATTCATCGGTAGTGTGACTCACTGACAAGCTGAAGTATGAGAGTAATGACAGCTAGAAACCAAAATGCCCTGTTCAAAGTAAAAATTTCATTTTGGAGAGACACAGAGTTGATTAGGATGGCACCCAACCTGACCTAGAAAAAAGCAAAGGACCACAGTGAATGTCTAATCATAATGTGGCACTTCACGTCTGCAGCTGCAGCCACTGGCTCCTGAGAGCTCTCTGAGCTAAAGCCCTCTCTGCCACAGGGTCAGCCGCCCCCCAAGATCCCC